TACTCTCTAGCAGAAGATCTGTGCCACCAGTGGGTGTACAAAACCTTGATTCGCATGCCCCTTGAATGGTTTCTAGTTGCCAGGAACCTTGGACAGCAATGAGCATCTTTTTATATTTAGTCATATGACTGCACCATGGCCAATAGAGTATAGTTAGAAGTGATGTTTATCATTCCAGGCTTGTCCATGACAACTTCTTGTGTGAGCTCCCGTGTTCTTCCTTATACTGCCGTCTGGATGCCACACTCTGGTCAGTCTTGGAAGCCACATGGTGAAAGAGCTAGAGCTGCTTGGCCTGAATCTGAGTGACCGAATGGAGTTATGAAGCTGAACAACTGATTGCCTTTCGATGAATCACTTCCACTGCCACCAGCTGGGCTTTGTGTTAGTAAGAAATCAACTCCTGTGCTAAACCATTGAGATCTTGGCAGCTTTTATGGTAGCCAGCGCCAACATATCCAATTCCGCACTGTTTGCTCCTGCAGAAGTTGTCTTTATTACTAAAAGGACCCTTGGAAAGGGGAAAGCGTGAAAGTACTCCAGAGATAAATAGCAGAGGCCACATGTAGAACATGGACTATAGTGCCTAATTTGAATACCAGCTCTGACATGTACTAGTCATTTAGCCTTGGGCACATATGTAAACTCTTTGTGCTTTGCTTTCTTCCTGGGTGAGAAGGGAATAACAGTATCTATCTTGTGAAATTCTATAAATTAATATTTGAAAATAACAGTACAGTGCCTGGTAAACAGTTAATAATATGCTAACACACCTCTGGTTTCCCAAGGTTCCTCCTTAGCACAAAGTCTTTAAAATTGTTTTTCACGTGTAGGGAGAACAATCCTCTGAACTCTAGGCAAAGTAACTGGATCAGAGTAACAGTGGGGCACTGTTTGGCTGTCTCCTAGGCTCTTGCCAGGTGCCAGGGCTACATGGCAGCCTACAGCATAAGAAGGTCATCTACCACTGTGACTTTCCAGTGCTTGCAGAGATTGTCCGAGTTCCTGATAAGAGTGTGATGGGAACAGAGTGCACATAACTTTTCCCAAGGACAAATGTCTTTTGCTTTTGCTGTCTACCTTAGAACCCTATAAAACCAGTAGCTTAGCAAAGAAGGGTGGTGACTCTGGTAGTGTTACAGCCCACAAGTCACCCACTGTGCTCTGTAAATAACCCCTCATAAACTCATTTATCCACCAAGCTGGACTTGTCCAAGTCATTCTTTGGACTACCAGTGCCCTCTCAATTTGGAGGCATATGCTTCTTTGACATCTCTCCAGAAAATTTTCACTACAATACAGTCTTCTAACCTTCTGTTGTGCTAATGGTAATAACCTGGACCAAAGAGATGACTTTAGCACTTTGGATATCCTTTCTTCACAATATGACTTTGTCCCTGTGAATAAGAAGTTTTCAGTTTGTTCCATTCTGGGGTTAGAGGGCACTTTGGCACTTTTGGATTTAGGTATGTTAGCTTTATATGGATCATTAACTTTAGGAGGAATGGATCATTAACTCTATTTGTTTTTTTCACAAGCCTGCAAAGGAGATTGCTCAACTCATTTTTGAGATATTTATTTGCATTTATTTATCTAATGGATGAAATGTTTTGAGCCCTATATCAGGCACTATTTGCCATTCTAGGATTAGAATGCTGATCAAGAAAATAGCGGTGTCTGCCCTCATAGACTCTATTTCCTTTCAAAAGTATGCATAGGTGAAGGAAGATCCAGGACAGGTATAAACGATCCACTTCTGGCACAAGAAAAAAGGCATCTGGCTCTCCTGTGCACAACTGGGTTACAAATGAGCAGAGTTCATGGAGGTCTCGGGGTTGGGAAAGCAAAAGTGGAGGCAAGATTCCAGTGAGAAAGGAGGTGCAGAAAACTGAGTTTGACGAAGGGACAATCTTCTCTTTAAGATACCTGGTACAATTTGGAATTTCACGGAATGAGAGATGAAAAACAAAGCCAGATCATGCCACCTTGAGAGGTTCCAATACATATGCCAGGTGTATTAGTTTCCTATTACTGTTATAACAAATCACCACAAATGTATTATCATACAGTTTTGAAGATCAAAAGTCTGAAATTGGCCTCACAGGGCCAAAATCAAGACATCAGCAGAGCTATGTTCCCTTCTGGAAGTTCTACAGGATAATCTATTTTGTTGTCTTTTCCAGCTTTAGAGCTGCCCGTATTTCTTGGCTTGCAGCCCCACTCTCTATACTTCAAAGCCAGCAATGGTGGAGTCTTTCTCACAATGCATCATTCAGACACTATTATGCCTCAGCCTTCCACATTTTAAAAGACACTTATGATTGTATCAACCTACCTGGATACTCACAAAATACATAGTAAATTCCAAAATTACAAACAAGTTCTGTTCTGGAGAACATTTGTGAGTTGGATCCATTCATATGTCCAACAAGGTGAACCTTATACAACTTTGACACAAATATACACTATAAGGCATAAAAAACAAACACACACAAAAATACTGTAAATAAACTACTTTTACTTTTATAGTTGCCTTACAATGGTGGAACAGTACAGCAGAACAACAGGTATATAGGGGATTGCATAGAATGAACTGACAAAGACAATTACTAATTGGAGAAGGGAGGGTAGGTGGAGATTGTGGTGCTAAAGTATCATCACCAATAGCAGATAAAGGGCAAGATGCAATTTTCCTCACACCTGATGTCAGAACAAAGGGTCATCAGCCACTTCCGGGATTAGTTCACATCTACGAAGTTTGTAATTTGAGGTCCATTAATATTTGTGAAAGTTTTTTTTTTTTAGACAAGGTTGCCCAGGCTTGCCTTCAACTCCTAGGCTCAAGCAGTCTCCCTGTCTCAGTTCCCTGAACAGCTGGGACTAAAGGTGCATACATTATTCTACCTTGCTAGAATACATTTTGAAGTAGATAACCCTGAGGTTATAACATAGCAAGAAAAAGAATTCTTACAAAGAAATGGATTGCCATCATCCCATATATCAGTGAACAGTATGAAAACTTAATGATTTTAACCTCTTTTTTAAACAAGCTAAAGAATAAAACCAAAAGAAAGAGCAGAAAACACTGAAATGATAAAATAAATGTACAGTACAGAAAGTCAACAAAGCCAAAAGGTAGTTGTTTAAGAAGAATAATAAAATACAAAGAATTCTGGCAATACTAAGTGAGGAAAAGGAGAAAATATAAAAAACTAATATCTACAATGAAAAAGGATATTACAGTAAGTATCCTTCACACACTAAAAAATGTTGAAGGATCTTGTGAATGATTTTACAGCAATAAATTTGAAATTTAGAGGAAACAGAGAAACTTCTTAAAAAATAAATGGCTCATACTATTTAAACAAAGCAAAATGCCAGCAAGCATTTTGCATAATGGTGAATTACAGAAAACTTCTCTCCAGCAGTATTTCTAGTCCATATGGTACTAATGGATCAATGCTGAACTTTTGCCTATTTAAAGATCTGGCAATTGCTTTCCTAGGGAAGCACCTTGTAGAAATCCCTACCTATATGCTGTAAAAGATGTACTAGAATGTGCCAGAAATCCTAGTCAGTGAAGTAAGCCAAGCAAAAGAAAGAAAATCATAAGAATCCTGCAACTCTTAATCCTGACATGTCAACTTCACTGGACTGGGAAACACCTGGCAAGTTAGTGAAGCACTCCTGGTGTGTCTGCCTAGGTCATGGAGGCATGGCCTTGGGTTCAGTAGGAGATCCCTTCCCGGTGCTCTCTGGCACCATCCCCTGCTCTGCTTCCAGATCCTTCCCCCGTGGTACTTCAGCCTTGGAGCCAGCAGATTACAGGCTGAAAACACGAGCCTTTCCTCCTTGAAGCTGTAAGTGTTGGGTATTGTGTCCAGCAACAGGGAAGCTGACATACAGATCAGAAAGGAAAAGACACAATTGACATAAGAATGTAAAGAAAAAAATTCTAAAGAAACTATTAGATATAGCAAGACAATCTAGGCCAACTGGCTCAAATTCAATACACACACACACACACACACACACACACACACACACACACACCATTCTTTTCAAATAGCAGCAACCAAATAGAATATTGAATTAAAATTATATTCTTGGTAGCATTGTCCACAAGGGGGCAAACTGGAGACTACAAACATCAGGAAGAAAGATAAAGTGTTCTATACACACAGTATGGAATATTATACAGCACTGAGAATGAATGATGGGTACACACAATTGCATAGATGAATCTTATAAATGAAATTGCAGGTGAAAGAAGCCAGGCACAAGGCTGAATATAGTGTAGGACTCTATGTTTATGAAGATCATTCAGCAGACTTAGTCTACGTTGTTAGAAGTCAAGATAATGGCTGGGTATGGTGGTATACACCTATGACCTCAGCATTCTGGGAGGCTGAGGCAGGAGGATGGTAAATTCCAGCCTAGCCTGGGCAACTGAGTGACTTAAAGAGACCCTGTCTTAAAATAAAGAAGGTTGGGGATGCAGCACAACGCAAAGGTCCTCGGTTCAATCCCAGTACCGGAGGAGAAGATAATGGACACCGGGTGGGGAGATGGGAGGGACTTTCCTAGCCCATGCAAGTCATTTCTTGATATGGGGGCTGTTTATTTGGGATAAACGAATAAAGGATATGTGATGTTTTATGTGCGTTTACCATACTTTAAAACAAGTTCTTTAGACTTCATTTAAACTTAGCAGGCTTTTCCCAGAAGTCACAGACTTGCGGAGGCTGGGCTGCAGCGGGAGGAGACGCAGCCCTCTGCGTGCTGCGGACTCACTGACCTGGCGGAGCAGCGGGCTGCGGGGGCCTGTGGCTTCGGGGAGCTTCCGGGAGGTCCTCAGCCTGGCCCGCGGACTCTGCAAAGCAGAATCTGCGAAGACCTGAAACCTGTGTTCGAAACGGCTTACATCCTTCGGACGCCTTAGCCCGGGCCTCCCGGAGTCTGCGTTTTTGACACCCTCACGCTCTGCTCGGCTGAATCGAGTTGGACCGGCTGGGCTGCTGGCCGGCCCCCGGGGGAGGGGTGGGGCGTGGCACTGCCAGGCGATCAGCCCGGTCCGCTCACCACCGAGCAGGCGAGTCCAGCCCGGGTAGCGCTACCAAGGGCTCAGAGGCCCGGCGGGCGCGGCCGAGGATGAAGCGGGTTGTGCGCGCGCTGCTGTGCGCGGCGGCTCTGGGTGAGTGCACGCTGGGAGCCCGGAGGGGGGCCGGAGCCGGCGGTCCCCAGGTGCTGCGGGAGGACTGGGTGCCAGCCCGTGAGCCGAAGGGGTTACGCTGTAATGGAATCCACCTCCCCCTCCCTGTTGCGTGACTCTGGGCTGTCCCTTGACCCCCATCAGCTGGTTTGAGTGGGAAAAATTGGCTTTTCGCAACAAACACACAGTTGTGAAGGTGTGATAATGTGTCCAAAGGCAGGCGGAGCTCTAGGGGCGGGTGAGTCATCACTCACAAAAAGCCTGCACACGGAGAAAGGCCTGGGGCGCCTTCCTGTGTCGGGAGGGTGGCTCCTGGGGGTCTTGGGCAGGGCAGCTGTGGGGAAGGCCGTGGTTCAGTGCAGTGAACTCCTGTGTGTGAAGAGAGCTCCTGGTGGGTTCTGTCAGCCCTACTTCAGGCTGTCATGAATAATATGTAGGGTAGAGTGTCTCTCATGGGGTCACAGGACAGAGCAAGGAGTGGGCAGCAAGGACAGCAAATGGGGGGCCCTTCATGGCCTGGCATTGCCACTGCGGTCACAGAGGAGCCCTGCTGGGCCAGTGCAGGCTGGAAAGGTTGTGCAAGCTGTGGTCCAGCCACAGTCACGAGGGAGCCCAGCGGGCAGCCCTTCGGGTCTCTCCTGCATTGTCCTGCACAGGTCCTGGGTTATTTGCTCTTCCTCTGTCTCTCCTGGCAATGCCAGGCCATGACCAAAAGTTCATTCTTCCAATTGGCTCTGTGTTTACAATCCAAAACCAAGATATGACCCTGCAGGCCGCATCCCCTGTATTCCCCCTGATCAGGGCTGCTGGGCCAGGCTGGATTCTGGGTGTGCTTTCTTCAAAGTAGTGTTCGAGTCTGACAAATACTCTTCTGATTGCAGATGATGAAAAAGCAACTGAGGAGCTTAAGTCAAAAAGATCAACAAGGAAGGGAAAGGGACAGTTGTTAGTAGGCCCTGTGTGAGCCTGCAGCTCAGGAGGCCTACGTCTCTGCCTTGGCCCCCACCTCCTCTTTCAGTCTCTCACTCTTTGGAGGCTCAAGAACTTTCCTGCTCTGTGAGCCAGTGGCCAGCAGCCTTCGCTTTCAGTATGAAATATGCACGGGGGCGCCTCTGATTGCACCATGTGCTGGTCAGGTGGCTGGCAGAGTGCTGTGAATGCCGTCTTGTCTATGTGACTTGACTTCAGCTGCCCTAAGCTCACTAGCACACATTCTTTCCTTTTAAAATCACTTAGACTGAAATGTGCTTCACATATAATGCAATACACCCATTTTAAGTGGATATACAGTTTAGTGAATTTTGACAAATTATCCATGTAACTACCACCATCATCACAAGAAAGAATAGTTCCAACTCTTTTGGGGAGAGGGGCAGAGTCTCGCTGTGTAGTCCGCCTGTCCTGTGAGCCTGTGGTCCTCCTGCCTCAGCTTGAAGAGTTCTGGGGTTACTGGGCTGCACCACCACGCTGAGCCCCCACCTCTTCCACACTGCCCCTGCCCTTGCCAGTCACTTTCCCTTTCTTCATAATAGGAGAGTTTGGCTTTTTCCAAGATTTCATACAAGTAGAACCATACTGTACACAGTCCTGTGTATTAGGTTTTCCCTCAGCATTTAAGATTCATCCACATTGTTTTGTATGTCACGGCCCATTCCTTTTTACTGCAGAGTGCTACTCCATTGTAGGGTTTTGCCACAGTTTGTGTACCCACTCACTTCTTGATGGACACTGTTGTGCCTCCATCATGAGGCTGTTATGAATAAAGCTGCCATGTACATTAGCAGACAAGTATTTGGGAAGATCTGTTTTTATTTTGTTCACATAAATATCTAGGATTATTGGGCCTTACTGGCAAGTGTATGTTCAACTTATTAAGAAAATGCCAGACTTAAGAGCTGGAGTTATAGCTCAGTAGAAAAGGGCTTGCCAGACAGACACCAGGCCCTGGGTTTGAACTCCAGAATTGGAAGAAGAGAAAGTGTCAGATTGTTTTGGGTAGCAGCACTATTTTATTTTCCCGCGGCAATGTATGAGCAGTTCAGCTGTTCTCCATCCTACAACACTTGGTGATGTCCATCTTCTCACAGGTAGGATCTCCTTGTGGTTTCCACTTGTATTTCTGTAATGACCAATGTTGCCGAGCAATCTGTCATGTTCTTGCAGTGACCATTTATACATCTTCTCTTATGAGATATCTGTTTGAATCTTTTCCTCATTAAAAAAAAGCACAGTTGTAACTGAAAATGCAGTCAGTTTCATTCCATAGCTTGCTCTTACTTAGGATTGCTACTATTGAAGAATTTCTCAAATAAAATTGAATGGCTCCCTTTGTTCTTTCCTATCTTTGGCATGAGACTCTGTCTTAGGTTATTTAGCATCTCCTGTCTCATACTTTCTGATATTTTTTTTCTTTGATATTTTCTACTTTCAGGTAGTTAAAAGGCAAAACAGATTCTGAACTCAAACACAGCGGGTGGTTCAAATATCAACTTCATCTTTTTTTTTTACTTCATCTTATTTAATGTCCCTGACAATTTTTTTTAAAAAAAAATCTCATCTCTAAAACAGTAATGACAATAATTAAATGCAGGACAAGGTGGTAATAAGCTTGTACACTGCCTGGCATATAAGGGCTTGACAAAGAATGATAGCTGTTCTTGCTGTAATTTTTATTTTCTAGATTTCATTTAAAATAGTGTTTTGATTGCCAAGCATGGTGGTGCCCTGCTTTAATCCCAGCACTCAGGAGGCTGAGGCAAGAGGATTGTTGCAAGTTTGAGACCAGCCTGGGCTACAAAGTGAGCTCAAGATCAGCCATTTGTATTTCTTCAACTGAAAAGTGCATATTCATCTCAGATGCACAGTTTTTGACTGGTTCTTTGAATTTGGGGTGGGTCTGATTTATTTCAGTTCTTTATGTTCTAGATATAAATTGTTTGTCTGAGGGGTAATTGGCTAAAATTTTTACTAACTGAATGGGTTGTCTTTTTACTCTGTCAGTGATTTCTTTTGCTGTGCAAAAGCATTTTAATATGATGAGAACCCAGTTGTTGAGTCTTTGTAGTATTTTCCATGCAATCTGGGTTTTGTTCATAAAGTTTCTGTCTACACCTATGTCTTCAAGATTTCTATCTATTTTCTCTTCCAGCAGATTTAGTGTTTCTGTTTTAATATTTAGATCTTTGATCCATTTCAGCTGTATTTTAGTGCATGGTGATAGACATGGCTCTAGTTTTAGTCTTGGGCATGTGGAAAGTTTTTCCAGCACCATTTATTAAAGAGGCTATCTTTTTTCCAGTGAACATGTTTGGCCCCTGTCTTGGTTACTTTTCTCTCATTGCTGGGACAAAATACATGATGCCCAAAATTAAGGAAGGAAAGGTTTATTTTGCTTACAGTTTGTGGGGGTTTTAGTCCATACTTGGCAGGTTACAAGGCAGAGTGGCACATGGCAGAGGGCTACAGCTCATGGCGGCAGGACACAGCAAAAGCAACAAACACAAAAGGGAGGAATGGC